TGGATTCCACCCTGGGATATTCCAGCTCGCTACGAGTACAAGCTCGCGGGCACCACGGTCCAGCGAGGCGCCACCATGGAGACGCCCCTCGTGGACGTCAATGAATCACTCCGACCTGATATCGCTGAAGGCCACAGGCGTGACTGGGGCAAGACGACAATCTTCTGTGTGGACTCTGAGCAGACGGCCGACGTGGACGATGGCTTCTCTGTCGAGGCGACCGAGAAGCCGGGGGAATATTGGATTCACATCCACATTGCCGACCCTGCCTCCCGTATCGACCCAAAGTCCGCGCTCGCTCGTCAACTCGAGAAGGCACCATCAAGTCTGTACATGCCTGGGTACAACCAAAAGATGCTGCCGCGGGATCTCGAGCAGGAGTTTTCGCTGAACCCCGGCCGACCGTCCCTGACGTTCAGCGCCAAGGTCAACGAAATAGGAGGCATCCTAGACTACAAGGTCGAACCGGGCACCGTGCAGAATATCTTGCACATCCCCAAGCATGAGGTCACTGGCATCCTGCCCGGCCTTGAAACACAGACCGTTAGCAAGACCTTCGTCGTGGGCAAGCCGCCTCCGCCGCCCAAGCCTGTGAAGCGTATCACTACCGCCGCGGATTTGTCCCCGGAGGATAGGGATGACCTTCTCCTCATCAATCGCCTTTGCAAAGCCCTTAAGCACCGCCGCGTGGAAAAGGGACAACTGCCCCCTTTCGAGACCAGATTCGACTCCCCCAAGGTATCTCTCGACCATATCGTCGTCAAAGGCGACGCCGATGACTTGTCCAGGTCGATGGCGTGGCAGGGTGATCCGTTTATTGAATTCAACACGTCCACGTACAGCAAGGCCGACCGCCTCGTCGAGACGCTCATGCACACGGCTGGCGAGGTCGCTGCAAAGTGGTGCCAGACCCGCGCCATCCCCGTTCCCTACAGCACCCAACCGGATGCCGTCACAAACGCAAAGGGTCTCGCCGCCTACCGCCGCGAGCACATCGACCCTTTAGCGGCGGAAGGCAAACCCATCCCCGCGGAGCACATCCACCGGCTCCTCGTGTACGTTGGCAACTCGGAGCTCTCGGCCAGCCCCGCCCCCTTTTACGCCGTAGGCGTCGACGCCTACGCAAAGTCCACCAGTCCCATCCGCCGCTTCAACGACCTCGTTGTTCACTGGCAAATCCACGCCGCCCTCGCCCACGAGCGCGAGACGGGCCGCTCCCTCGTCGGTGAGGACCTCTTGTCCGACGACAATGCCGTCGCCATCCTTCCCTGGACGCACCGCTCCCTCTCCGAAGCGCTGCCGATGCTCCACGCCCTCCAGCGCCAGATCAAGCAGGTCGACAACAAAAACGCCCCGACGCACTGGGTCGCGCAGGCACTGCTGCGCGCGTGGCGCTTCGGCGAGGCGCCGCTGCCAAAGACGTTCAAGTTCGTCGTCGATGCCGTCTACGCGTTTGGACTGAGAGGCCGGCTGAGCACCTTTTACAACCTGGGTGCCTCTGTGGACTTGCTGAGGCTGGAGGGCTATAGTAGGCTCGCGGACGTGCAGGCTGATGATGTGATTGATGTTGAGATTGCCGACATCAATGTCGTGACGATGCAGGTTTGGTGTCAACCCGTGGGACGACGACGGGTCGACAAGAAGAAGACGGTCAAGAAGGATGCTACGCCTGCTGGAGGTGCGGTAGCGGCTACTCCTATGCCTGCTTGATTGTTTCGGGGGCAGCTGCTCAGCCTCGCAATATCTGTAATACTACTAAAAGAGGATTCTCCTCGTGTAAGAAGAAGGGCAAAAAGAAATGTACAACATGGCGTGGACTTGATTTGATTTTGTAGGATACTAGGAAACGCTGGGTATCATCAACACACTGGACCGACATAGGGAGTCGGGAAATAGGCCATCGAAAATAGAGATGGGTTGGCTACCTGTATAACTTTGTCATGATCTCAACACAAAAGTCTCGTCTCATTCCAGATCCCGAGATGGACGTTCTCCTCCATTCTTCTGCGAGCGAGATGCAAATTTACAAAATTCTATTTTCCCAACCAAGGGGGTGATGATTGGGGGAAACCATCTGATATCCCGGGAGTTCTACAAAGTACTATAACTATACACAATTCACCCTCCCGCTGCTTCTCCGAGAGCGAAACATCTAGACATATCTCCTGACTCTCTAAGCCTTGACATCATTCCCACCATCGCCCTGCCCGTCACGAGGTGGCGCATCAGCAACAAGATCACCCCTCGTCTTCTTCTTCTTCTCCAAACCATCCACCCGCGCCCCTTCCACCTTGCGTCCCGTCACGAACTCGATCCCGACCAACCCGGCCAGCATACCAAACAGATGCGACGTCAAATCAATCGTCTGCTTGCCCCGCCTGAAAAAGGCATAAATATGGAACCCCAGAATCAGCGCAATAAATCCCAAGCCCTGGGGCCCGTTCATCGGATCCGGAGGGAACCCAAGCACCTTGAACGAATCGAACCGATGCATCCAAAAGTACGCCGTCGCGACGCCAAACACGGCGCCCGATGCACCCACTGTCGAGACGGTCAAAAGCCCGCGGAGCGTAAACGCCGTCAAGCTGCCCAGGAACCCGACGGCGCCCGAGGCGAGGTAAATCGCCAGGAAATTCGCCCGCCCGACCTCGTCGTGCAGCGCGGTGCCCATGAACCACAGCCCCACCATGTTGGTCGCCAAATGACCCAGAGAACTGTGCGAGAAATTGGCCGTAATCATCGTCACGGCCCGCGGCATGCCGTGCACGAGCACAAAGTACCGGTTCAGGAACCGCCACAGCGGCGGCACGCGCCACGCGACCGAGACGAGGACGTTGAGCGCGATGAGCGCGCCCACCGTCGCCGTCGAGGCGCTCACCTCGGGGAATAGGCGGTCGGCGTCGCGGGGCGGGGTGTACACCGCCGCGAACGCCGCCAGCGAGGCCACGAGCAACAGGACGACGGCCGCGGAGGGGAGGATGCGCTCGGCGAGTGTGAGAGGGGGTGGGGCGGCGAGGTCCGAGGCGGCGCCTTGTTCCGTCCATTTCGCCATGCGCGGCGTCATGGGCGGGCGCTTGATGGGGATGGAGAGCGTGCCCGGGTTGTACTCGATGCCCTTTGCCTCGGCCTCGGCGATGAGCCGGGCCTCTTCCTCGGCGGCTTTGGCTTGGTTCTTGGCGCGGATGGCGTCGAAGGCACTGTAGCCGTAGACGGGGTCTGGTTTGACGACGGGGGAAGATTCTTTTCGGAGGGACGGTGTTTTGGAGCCAGCGTCTGCGGTTGACGAGGCATCTTCCCCGTCAGCGCTGCTCTCCTCTGCGAGGTCCTTCTCAAGCGCGGCAAGCTCGTCCTCGGCCCGGAGTCCCGCGTTGAGGACCTCGTCGACGGGCGTCTTCTCGCGGAGGTACGCCAGCGCGGCGTCGCGCTGCTGCGCGGTGAAGGCGGCGGTGTTGATGGCGAAGGCGGGGTCCTCGAGGGTGCCGGCGACGCGGCGGCCGTGCATGATGCGCAGCAGCCGGTTCGCGGCGGCGGGCTTGAGCGAGGGCCCGAAGACGGCTCGGACTTCTGCCGCGGTGAGGTCCTTGTTCTCTTCTGTGAACCGCAGGCCTAGTTTGTCCTTGTAGTCGAGCGGGAGGTCTACGTACTCGCGGAGCAGAGGTTCGTTCTTGTAGTCGGTTTTGGGGGGTGGTGATGATGCGGAGGAGGAGGAGGAGGAGGAAGCCCATCTTTGTATCGATCTACCGGCCGTCATGGCGGCGAGGCTGGGCGACGGCCATTGGGTTCGGCGGTGGGTTGAGGGACACGGTACGTACGGCCGGGTAGCGGCGGGCGTCCGCCGGGAGGCGATGATGGTGCATGTCGAAAGAAGTCGTGACGCGGACGAACAGCTCGTCGTATTCGGCGCAGAACGGCACGCGGCGCGCAGGCCGAGGTGGAGGAACGACCTCGAAGGGACGAGACCGAGTGAGGCGTTCATGGCTTCTTAGAGCCGCCCTGGGTGGGCGAACAACCGTCTCTTTTTGCTCGTTTCGCGGGAGCGCACTGAAAAGCTAGAGACTCATCAATGCGCAGGCGACTTGTCGACGGAGAGGTTTCTTTTTTGGAAAATATCGGAGGCGTCTGCCACCTCTCGTATTGTAGGTGCTATCGTCGCACTTTAGTCGCCGGTTCGTAGAGGTAGTGATGGTGGTTGCTCGTCGTCGTCGTCGTCGTCGTCGCGCGCGGGCGGCGTTGTCGCGATGGTTCGATCTCAAAGACGCAATCGAAGCCCGTAAATTCTTTGGTATTCCGACCACGGGGATCGGGACCGCGGCAGCCGGCGAAGGGCAGCTTCCGGCCCACCCCCGGTGTACCTGCCTAAGAAGCCTACCTTACTGGGCCTGAAGACTGGCTTTGGTAAGCACGCAGGAACTAAGGCACGTAATCGATAACGACGTGGAGCGGATAACGCCGTCGGCGGTAAGACCCCATGAAAGGTAAGGTACCTGGCACTTCGTCATTTTCCATCAAGGTATCCGTACCTGACCGCCCCCCCCCTGCCCATTCCCCACCGCCGGAACCTTCTACTGCACCTTCTACCACCTTCCCACCCCGCGCTCAGCTTTGGAGGGAAGCTACCGCTACCTCACCTCCTCCAGCTGGCAGAAAACCTGCGGTGACGTTGCACGGCATCTACCTGGAAGAACGTCCCTTTTTTCTACAAACACCAAGCCCGCACATCGTCATCGTCCCCCCCCTCCGTCCATCCTTTCGGTCAACCATCACTCGTGAACAGGGTCATTTCTCACTCGCTTTTTACTTTCTTCCCCTCTCTCTCTCTCTCTCTCTCTCTCTCAAAAACCCAGTCACATTTCTTGTCCACACACCAATAACCTCCAGTCTCTTTCTCAACAAGACTCCAAGTCGCAAAGAACCAAAGACTAAAGACAACCCAAACCAACACCGCAAACACCAAAACCTAGAGACAAAACCAACACACACACACACACACGCACCCCAAAATGTCAGCAGACACCCGCCCAATATCCCCAACCCAATTCGCCTCCGCCCTCCGCGACCTCTCCCTCCCAACCCTCCACCTCAAAGCCCTCGAGATCCGCAACTCCATCCTCCACCTCGAATACTCAAACGCCCAGCTCGCCCCCTACGCAGCAGGCGACGCCACCACTCTCGACTCCGCCACCGACGCCTCGGCAGGCCACGGCCCGGACCCGACCTGCGTCGAAGCCATTCGCGAAAACGACGTCGTCATCGCTCGCATGCGCGAGCGTGTCCAGATCATCCGCGACGAGGTCGAGGGCAGAGGACACTCGTGGAACGAGTTCAAGAGTAAAGAAGAGGTTGAAGAGGAGGAGGCAGAGGCACGAGAAGGAGCGGTGGCAGCGGTGAATCGGCGGGGTATCACGAGCGAGTCGGTGGCCGGTGCGAACGGCGTCAACGGGAACGGGACTCCCGCGACCAACGGGCTTGGCGCCGCGGCCGCTGAGGAAAATAGGATTGCCACTGGACGTCAGGGCGTACTGGCGGCGACCAACGGTGGTGGCTCGTCGACTACTGCCGCGAGCTCGTCACACCCTGCTTGGATGGACGGTACATTCCAGATGGGCACGATACGCAACGGTGTGATCACGATGGATGGTCCCCCGGCGCAATCCACCCAATCTACTCAGCAAGCAAACGGCACGGGTGGTCGCCTGACGGACGAAGAACTGCGGCGGGCCATGGAGGAGCGGATGAGAGGTCTCGGCGATGACGACGAGGATGGCGGAATGCATTTGTAAGAGTACGGGAGAAGAAAGACTACGGCAGAAGAAGCTGGATGACACACGCGGTTCGCATTTATGAGGCGTTGGTTCCGGTCGATGAAGATGGACCAAGCAAAAACGGAAAATGGATCGTTCGACGTTGGGACACCAGAATTTGGACAGAGCAATAATACCCTTCATGTTCCTAGTGCTACTTGCTAGTAATGCCATGACAAAGGGAAAATTGGAAAGGAAAAAAGGGACATGAAAAGAAAGAAGTAAAGGCTTCATCGCATCTTTGTGTGCGGCCAAATGTGTAAAATGTAGAAACGAAGAGATGAAATAAAGAAATATCAAACAAGCCATGGATCTCGTCCTCTTTTGAACAAACCCAACCCAAAGACCAGAGACCTTACTTTTTGAAACACCCAATTGCCCACCGTATGCTTGCTATCTTGCTTTTTTTGGCAACACACCCCTAAACGCCTCGATGCCGAATCCCATTTCCGAAAAATGCAAATGCTCCTTCCCATGAACGCTATGCCCCTCTCTGGGTGTAGATAATGCAGTAGATGACCATCGTCAGATGATAATGGTGAGAGTCAGAGACAACTAGAGAAAGTATGTTCTGGCCGGCTGTCTGTTCGGCCTAGTTCGTGGAAGACGTCCAACATCATGATACTGTTGTGGTAGTGGTGACAGTGGTAGGTGTGTTTTCATCCGCAGTGCGGTTGATGATAGGGTTGGCAGACGCTTTGGGCGTGACGTCAGAGTTGTCCTTGGGTGCAACATCTGGCTTCGTGCCGTTGGGACGTGCCTTTAATGCCTGTCTGGAGTTGGAGCGGGAGCTCTTGATGGTCTCCAGCTTGGGCCGTCGGGGAGGACTCGATTTCCCCAACGAATCCCACGTGCGGTGCTGGACAAAGTCGTCCTCATCTGAAGAGGTCTCCTCGGGCGTCATGGGAACACGTCGAGCACGGGCGATGCGCCGACGTTCCACCAGCTCGCCGTCTGAAGATACTTCGGAATCTAGCGAGAGGCTGCGGCTACGGTTGGACATGCCCCTGCTCGATACCGTTGTCCGCCGTGACCGCCTGCCGATGAGCGAGTCGATCAACTCCGATTCCGACGGTGTCTCCTCCAAGGGCAGCTTCTCTCCCTGTTGCCGTAACTTCTTCTTCAACGCCTTTTCACGGACCAATCTGTCCAAGGGGGTGTCCTCAGACGCCATTGTTCTCCTGCTTCCAACTGTGCTGGTGCTCTGGGTTCTGGCGACAGGAATGCGGCCTTCCATGAGCTTGGCAGGGGGCGGCGGCTGTAACATCCACTTGAGAGCGTCCGGACGGGAGGGCTTGCTTCCTACTATCGGCGGATGGTACTCGTTGACGGGCGGGTTTCTCGGTGTACGGTAAAAGTTCTCGCGGTCCTCATCTGTGATGGGCTTCTCGAGTCCCAACTTCTCCTCCATGTAGCGCCCGGCAGTGTTTCCAGCCTTTGCGATGTTGTCCATCAGCTTGTGACCCATGCCGGTGAAGTTGTGGCCCCAGAGCTCTTCATCCTCTCGTTGGTACAGCTCTCTATTCCAACCCTCGCCGGATAGCTTTCGACCAGCTGTTGAGGCACTTATTGTCGGGGTCGCAGGGCTAGTACTCTCGGCAACGGTGCTTGCTCCGCCAAAACTCGCGGCTGTGCTTGTCCGACCTGCACTCGCCAGACCTCTCTGGCTCGAATTCTTGTTGGTTGACTTTTTGGGTAGGTGTGGTCCTGCTGCCATCTCCTCGGCCCAAAATGGGTTTGTGTGAAAGGGGTCCGGATGACGATACAGTCCTGGTTGCTCCATCTCTATTTTTCTCTTCACCTCCCTATCCTCCTTGGCCTTCTTCTTGGCCTTTCGGAAAGCCTTCATTTCGTTACATGGTGTACATGCGAGGTAGTAGAAGATCGCTGACTGGATAGCGACTGGTAATGACATGTTTGCGGTATGGCCGTAACCCCGGCGTGGGGAGATGGTCTGGAGTGTATTCGGTGCCCGGTATTTCTAGTACACATGGAAGGCAAAGGATATATTCGGGGAGCGTTCGAAGAGGTAGGTGGTGTGGGTGTGGGTGTGTGTGTGTGTGTTGGGTGTGGGTGTCGAGGGGGGTGATATAGACGGGGTGCCGACTTGTTTGATCGAGTGGTTCGCGGGGAGGAAATAAGTGTCCAAGTGGGAGAAAAGTGACAGGAACCACGAGGAGGAAAGGTAGTCCAAACAGGCAAAGCGGATGTTCAAGGTAGCCAGGATAAGGTGAGGTACGGGAACGGGACGGTAAGGTAGGATACGGCGCCTTCGAACCTAAGATGAGTTGCTTAGGGAAGGGAAAGGACCGCGTGCCAGCACCAGAGGGAACCTGGGAAGTCTATAGCGCCATTGAAGTGAATCACCGGCGCAGAGCCCAAGACACAGTTTCGGTACGGGGGCGCGAAATGCTTTAAAAGTGGCTCGGCCTGTGCGGCCCCTCCAGGTACTGGGTGTATCGAGGTTTGGTGTTGGGAGGAGGGAGGACAGAGTGAGGTTTCAAGGTTGAGTGATGTCCTGGACGGGTGCTATTCTCGAAGGGGGTGCGTGTAAGAGGAAGAAGCACAGGCGCAGGCGCAGGCGTGACAGCAACCGGTGCAGTCTGCAGTCCAATCCAGTTGGCAGGAACTAAAAAAGAAACTTGCAATGCACCTCAATAGGCGAGCAAAGGCAGAGGTCGTAGAGTACCTTGGTGCTTTGGGTGAGATAATAGGACCGTAGCGCAAGACGGCGGTCGGAGCGGCGGATGGAGATGGATGGATGGACGGGCGGGCTCGGACGGAACGGTTTAGAAAGTAGGGAGGACCAGATGATTGTGGTCGAAGATGAGGGTGCCTCGGAGGCTTGCGTCGCGTGAGCGAATAGACGTTGGTCTATGGCGGTATGTTACTCTCGAGTGTGTATAGGGAGGGTGCTGCTTGTTTCTTTCTCTCTCTCTCTCTCTTGCTATTGCGCTACCACATGGAAGGATGACGATGGATTCGATTGGCGGTATCGGGCGGGTTTGGGATGAGGAATTGAGACACAGACGCTCTGGACATGCAAGAGGGAGCAGAGGGGGAGGGGAAAAGACAGGAAAGGGAGCGGAACGAAGTGAGGGAAAAAAAGACGGGTGAATAGAAGGCGAAATAGAATTGAAGTGAGGTGCTTAGAGACGACGTTTCGAAAAAGGGAGGCGCAAGGTAAGTACAGTAAGTAGCGCCTACCTTCACACTCGCCCAGTTCTCCTCTCTACAGGTGGGCAGGTCCCTCCTCCTCGGCCTCCCTCTCCCTCCTTCTTTCCCATCGGGCAATCAATGAAGGGGGGAGTGGGTGGAGGTACCAGTCGCATGGAGACCGAGAACTCAAGGTACAGTGTACTAGTTTAGAGGCGTGGACTGGGGGGAATTGTGGGTTTCTCGACGGCAACCGAGGGAAGCGATTTGAGAGAGGGACACGGGGGGCATGGGGGCCTGGCACGCCTGGGAAAGAAGGGTAAGGGGAGAGAGGAAGAGGAAGCCACGAAGCAAAGACAAGTACTCTGTACTCTGTACCCGGTACATGTACCTCTACCTTACCTCATACACGCCCGCTGTCTGTGTCCCTCTGTCCTTAGGTTCTCTTCCCTATTCTTCTTCGTCTTCTCCTCCTCTTCCTCTTTTGAGTCCACCTCCGATATCCAAATTGATCGGGTCCAACAGTTCGGATCCCTTAAACTCTACCGTCCTATCTGCTACCCTTCTCCCTGCTATCTGGGACATTGTAAATGCAATGGAAAATGTATCAACCATTCCATTACAACGCCTGAGTCGTTGGCTTGATTGCAGAGCGCATCTTCATCAGACACTTTACGAACGTCCACTTTACGCCAGATGATCGCGAGAGATTGCGCTCCCCTCCACGGCTTAAGCGGACGGGTCCTGGACACCGTGACACCCCCGACTATGGATCGAGCACGCACGCAGCCCAGCCTACCAGATATGGCACAATCTGAGTTGGGCATGCCAATCATTGCAATCAATGGTGCGAAGTTGGTCCTGTCTGGGGCGCCTGGGCGGACCCGTCGTCGTCCTCGTCCTCGTCTCCATGCATCTAAATGCGCCTCCATTCCACAACACTCACAACACTGCGAACCGTCGACTGCTGTACACGTACACACTACAGTTACACAGTCCTTAGCTGCCTCTCGTCCTGCAAAGGCTGCAACTGAACAGACCAGAACGAGAACAAGGTGCTACACCTTCCCCCTCCGGAAACGCCAAGTACCCAGGAAACGCCAATCCGGGGCAGCTCTGTGCCTCGTGCCTGCGTCTGGCTGCTGTGCGCTGTTTGGTTCATCCGTCGCCCGCTGTCCCACACGATGCAAGTCGAATCAGAATGCGAATCGAGTGTGCCTGTTTGCTGCGCATGGTTACCCGACCTCGCGTCACTGGAGTCTTGGAGGACAGGCCAAGTCAAAGGTCAAGACGGACAACCTTGGAAGTCGGACAGACAAAGGTGCCGCTGCCCCACGGAGCGCATTGCATCGCACCGCAACGATTCCTCGTCCAACGCGCTCTGTTTCCCACCGCCTCTCGTCCGAATCCTCGAATCCTGAGTCTGTCTGTCTGTCAGACTGTGTCTCTGTCCAAGACGCGGACCGAGGTAGACTTGCCAACGCAACGCACCACCACAAGCCTGCCAATCCCGTCTTGGCCGATAATCCGTCTTGTCGCGCGCCTTCAATGTCTGCAACTGGCTCGTTCGTCATTCCTCTTGATGAATCGTCCTCTACGAATACTGCAAACAACCAGGAGAGGTCCGTTCATATCGGGGCGGCGCAGAGAAATAGCGGAAGATCTCAATCGGCCAAGACTTTCACTTGTTTTACGCATTACGCTACTTGAAGTGGGAGAGCCGATGTACCCGGTACCTAGGTCGGATCTCTGGCTTCCTCTATGCCACTATCATCTATGGACCCTGTCAACCTCCCCTCCCTCTCCACGACAACCCGACCCCTCAAGGAATGGGAGTGCTAGGCTCGGGGGGACCAGATTGACCAGTGTTCGAACTTGAATACCATGCACCTGCACATGCACCACACACCACCACGACTATGGACCGATTTACCGCAACCCTCCTCCAACAACCCAATTGCCCAATGCCGCTCGAGTCTTGCCAGCCCGACCCTACGCCGTACTATCACGGCCTACTGGCGACGGGGGCCCGGAAGCGGGACGGAGCTCCATGAATCTGCAACTCGGCCAATCTGCGCCGCGTCGCGCCTTTGGTCATAATGGATTGGTTCCTAGAGAGGGATTTCTTCTCCATGGCGCCCATCGCGCGAACAATCAGTTCATGATCCATATGTCATCATCTACCACCGACTTCAACTTAGTCATGGACAATTGACCCGGAAGCGTCGAAGTGTCCGGCCTTAATTTCACTTTTCTGCTCAGCTCAGCAACCCGGATCCCGAACCACCAACCGGACTGCCACAACACGACAACCCGTAAAACGAAATTGTTCAATCTTGTTCTCCCATTTCCACCAGAAAAGTCCGACAAGACGGCCTCCGCCGCCGAACGACGCCGCGGACGCCGCATCCCCTAAACTGGCAACTTGCAACTGGCACCTCGTCCAGCCAGCACCGTTGATGTCTCAAGCCCCTCTCCCACGACCAATCCGCAATGACCACTGGTTGTTCTCAACTTGACCATGGCGTACGGCCACGGGCGGCGGTCTAAACCCCCTCTGCTAAGCCTCCGAGGGAAGTAGGGAGTCGGCGTCCTTAGCGCACGTTTGCCTGCGCACGCCGCGTTCTGTATCTTTCTGTCAAGTCTTGTCTCACTCACTGCACCATTGTGAGGCAGGCTACACCACAAAACGCCTCAGCGTTTCGCGCGCTAGGTGAGGTTTTACCTCGACGGCTCTCATCTCCTTTCCTTGCGCGCGCGCCGTCGCCCGCCGGCACCGCCTGCAGCACTCCCTGATCCATGGGCAATGCCAATGGTCTGATAGATTCCTCAATTCCCAATGCCATTTGCAACTCAAGCTTTGGCCGACTCCCTTTGAGGTGGTGGACATTACTGATGACCCTGTTTTGGTCTGACTGACAGGTCTGGTGGACTGCCAATGGTTGATTACTCGGTGTCTACCGCGCTCTCTAGCCTAACCTAACCACCTAACCTACCCGTCAGTGTCGGTAGTAACCACCATTACATTTGGTCGAGGGTCCCTTGCTAGGAGGGATATTATCGAACAACTGCGCCTATCGATGATCATGCTTCCCCGTTCCACCTCACTCGACTCAGCCCCTCCAGCTCCTACCACTGCGGACACTCTCCTCGCGTAACCTGTTTCTCTGGGTGTAACGAGTCGCACGGCAGCTGGACCCTTGATTTGCTTGAAATGCGTACGCAAATGCGCAACGAACACTCGGTAGCTTCTTTTTGATCGACCGCCCGTCCGCCACAATGCTACGGTATGATACACCCGAGTCCTTTTATAGGATATAGGGAAAACTCCACTGTTTCGATCGTCTACGGGATGCGCAAGTGTGGCCGCAGGGAGCAGATCCCGCCAGAGATGTGAGTATTCCCGCGGATGAACTGCCACTCCTAAATGCCTGTGCAATCGGACATGGATCCGTTCCCAAGCCACTTCACCGACGTCGGGAACTATCGTGGAGGAACGACAAACATCTCTTTGAAAAAGTCAAAGTCAAATCAACCTTCGGAGGCACTCTCCCATAGGGCCAGCTCGCAGCCAAGACAAGACGACACCAACCAGCATAAACGTAAGTAACTTTTTTCCCTGTAGAGAAAGACTTTCGAATACACTCCCTTGGATTATCGGATCCTGTCCAAGAGGGTGTGAGGAGGTTCGGTTCGACCCTAACACTTTAACAATACCAACCGATATTTCCTCGTCTGGATTATATACGGCACGCACCAAGCCCGAGTAGGAAGAAATGGCTTCCTACCAACACATCCACCGGAGAAGGAGAACTTCTGTTAGAGAAGTCCTACAAAGGCCAGCTCAGTCCGCCTCGGCTCAACTTACATGAACCTGTGGTCCATCACACAACTGGACAGAGAAATGCAGACAGCCAACGAAACGGGCCATCGTAAGCGACACGGATCACGCCTCACGCAAGTCATAAACGTCAACTGGGCCGGAATCTCCAACACACAATTCCCCGCCCTCGACTCTCCTCGCACACTTTGATCCAACCAACTATCCAGACCTGATCTTACCCACAGCAGACTCTGACAGAAGACCGTAAAGGACACAAGCCGCTCCATCCGTCCTCCTCATCGTTGCGCTGCTGCGTTTCCCTATCCCTCTTGATGGGATCCAACAAACCTCTCTTCCCATCCTCCAGACTTGTTGCTATGAACAAAAACATGTGAAAACTACATGTCTCACCTCTGCGTGTCGTCTTGTCCTGCAGAGCAAGTCACCCCCACGGGCGTATAGGTCTCAACTACCCGACATTAGCACCTAGCTCAAAGTCCCAGAAAGCTCCTAGTCTACCCGTCAACCCGTGATGCCGCGATTTCCCTTCCCACCGCCTTGGAAACAACATCCCACCAATCTAACCAGCTGGACACACGAGGGGCTCTTAGTTACCTCGAACACGCATCTCACTTGCCAACATCCCACCTCCTCACGTAATGCATGTCTAGGAAATTGGATCGCAGCTCAACGTCCATCGTACACCCCCTCCTCCTTCTCTCCTCTTCCTCCTTCTCCTCCACCACATACATTGTATAGTATGTAGCGGTCAAAGCCCAAAGTCAATCCCACAAACGTGACAAAGTCAGGTGCAAGCATAATCTAAGACCTTCAACTAGCCCCCCTTCATCGGAAAAATACAACAGAAACTAGATCACTTTTTCCCCCTCGTCCCTCCGCCAACGCCGGCGAAGGAATGCGCTGTACCTAGGTTGCCGGAGGGGGGGGGGCGGTAGGTAGCCAGCTGGAGACGTACGGAAAATACTCCAACTCTTCTCACATGCTCCAAACCAAACCCCCCCCGGCCACGATCGCCTCTTAGCCTCGATCGACTACAACGCACAAGGCTCCCTTTTAGTGGGCGGAGATCGTGACGAAATATCGAGGTGGGGGGGGGGGGGGGGCGCCAGCATGTGCAGTGTTAAAAAAACGTGGAGAAATAACGTGATGCGCATTACCATGTCATCACTTGATCTGGCACTATCCCAGTAACATGACAACAAACAAGTCACAAACCAAGTCATGACTGCCTGGGAAATAAACGTGGTTTTTACTGGTGGGAAAGAAGACTCATTGAAAAGTTATCTGGCGGGATCCTGTGCTTTTGAGCACACAACGACTGAAGGGGCATGGCCAGTTCCCATGTGATCTAACCAATCTGCCCTAAAGGAAAGGTTTCATATTTTGTTGTTCCTCTTCCCGCTCGAGACCCATTCCCTCTTTTTTCAACTTCCTCGTATACATCGTGATCCTGCGTCACTCTCTCCTTCGTGTCCACCCCATCAATAGCTGGCTGGTCTCGAGGCCGAAAAGGAAGAAGAAGAAAAAAAGAAAAGCATGTGCAAATCACTCAGCCCGCTGGCCAATGTAATCCCCCAACTCCAAGATCTCATGCCGTGGCCGAGATCGTTTTTGTTTGCGTGTATGCGATAGCAAAGCCATGTCGCCTTTACTCGATGAGGCCGCCGTCTCGCGGAAGCGTGATCGAACCAATGCTGGCGTCTTCTTCATGGCGTCAAAAGGATTGCAGGTGTGTGTGTGAGAGAGTTTTGAGGTGTGCCGCACTCCAGGAAGAAGTATTGTACAGTTAGAATAACAAGTGACATCCAGACGGCGCGAGGACGATGGTGTGAAGTTGAGAAGAGCGCATCTGGGGAGGGCGGAATATCCTGGAGAATGACAATCGTAGGTGTAGTGACCGCTTAGACATCCCACTCCTCCTCCTCGGTGCTGAGGGCGGAGAAGGATCCAAAGTTGGACGTGACGGGCTTCGCAGCCTTGCCGTTGGACGCAGGCTTCTGGACGGCCTGGGCGATGGGGCGAGCCGGAGCAGGGGCGGCGGCGGCGGCGGCAGGCTTGGCAGCTTCGGGGGAAGGGGAGCGGTTCTCCTTCTTGGACTTCTTGGACTTGGCGGGAACAGTGTTCCACTCATCCTCCTCCTTGAGGCGCTGGATTTGCTCCTCTTCAGAGGGAAGGGAAGAGATCCAGTTGTTGGAGGTCTGGGCCGGAGCGGCGGCAGAGGTGCCGTTCTGGGCCGGAGCATCGAAGGTGTCGAGAGGCTGAACAGCAGCGGAGGTGCCGTTGGTAGCAGAAGCACCGTTGGGGGAGCCGGCGGTCCAAGCGGACTTGTTGCCGTTGACACTGGCCATGAACTGGGAACCATCCTTGGCGGGGATGCCGGCGGCCTCGCGGGCGGTACGGCGCTGCTTCTCGAGCTTGACCTTGCGCTCCTTCTCCTCCTCCTCGCGGGCGGCTCTCTTGGCCTCAACCTTTTGGCGGTTCTGGCGCTGCTTCTTGGTCTCAGCCTGCTCGGGGGCCTTCTGCTTCTTGGCCTTGGGCTTCTCCTTATCGGTGCCGGTCAGGCGGAGGACGGAGGGACCGGATGAGGTGGGCTCGAGCATGTCGTTGACGCCGCTGGGGTCGGCAGGAGTGACCTCGGGGGAAGTGGCAGGGGAGCTCTCCTCCTCTTCCTCAACAGCCTCGACAGCGGGGGCAGAGGAAGCGGCGGGCTCCTCCTCCTCCTCCTCGGTGACGTCGACGGGCTTCTTCTCAGCAGCACGCGATTGCTTGACGGACTTGGTCTTCTTCTTCTTGGCATCAGCAGCAGATTTGCCATCAAACTTCTTGCCCTCCTTGACACTGGCCATCCTTTTGGCGAAATCGGCATTATCAACTTCCTCCTTAGGGTCATTGCTCAGCCATGTGCTAGAAGGATCGACTGCGCTCGTGGAAGCCTTCTCCTCGGGCTTTTGTGAAGCAAAGGCAGCCTTTCGCTGCTTCTTTGCGTTGGTGTCCTTCTTGGGCTCGACATATGCCTTGGCAGTCTTGGCAATCTGCGCAGGCTTCTTGTTGCCGGAGTAGTTGTAGATCAAGCCACCAGCGACGAGGAAGCAGACAAGGTAGCCGCCCACGGTCTGGGTGTTGAGAAAGTCGGAGACTGTCATTGTTGCGACTGTGGATGGCGCAAAAACGCTACCAGATGGGTATTAAGGGGTATGGTAGATTATGCAACGTGGTGCAGTTGAAGACAGCAAAGACCACGGTGAGTCGAATCAAGGACCGCAAGCTCAGGGTGCCGTTGAGAGTCACGGTGTATCTTCGATGCCTCAGTGATGGAGAAGTTGTGGAGAGAGAGATTCGGATGGCTGGACAATGGATAGGTTAGCTATGGAGTCCAATTTGTGCTGAGCTCTGCACACGGGAGCAGGTGATCCGAGATGTCTGGGGCAAGCGCCGATCGGGGGACATACAGGTGGAAGGTGCGCAAGGGAGATGTGGGCGCAACAATGGATGGGTTGCTTGAGGATGAAAGGTAAGGTGAGAGCGGTGATGCTCGGGGGGGTGGTTGGTTTGTTGAAGGGGAGAAACAACAAGAATTGGGTGAATGGGAAGAAGGAAATAGGGCGATTGAGGAGGCGTTTCGACCACGCGGTTGAAAGACGGCTTGGATGTCGTGTTCAGATGCAGGTAGCTTGGCAAGGAGAGACAGGCCGAAAAAAAAAGTTACCAGGTGGCTTCTCAGCAAATGTGCCTGCGGTTGCCGCCAGTGGTCCACGGCAGGTCCAAGGTGTAGAGGCTAGAGCCAGTAGCACATGGGGGTTTTTGGCTGAGGCAAGCGCCCAGGGTTCATGCCACGGATGCAAAAGCCGACCTATGGGATAGGTTGGACCGCTGGAGAGGTCCCACGGGTAACTGCTGCTGATGCTGCCGCTGCGGCTGCTCGGTGTTGCTAGGTGCTCCAGGTATCCAATCTGTAAGGTGCTGCACCGAACCCTGACCTGCGTCGGGACCGAGTCTCCAGGAGTGGGAATTGCGTATGAGGATTGGTGTCCTCTTTTGCCGCAGGTCCCCAGGGATGTGTTTCTGGCTGGCCGAGCTCAGATGAAGCAGCAAGATAAAAGGCGAGACGAGGGAGTGTGTGATGTAACATGCGACAAGGAAAAAGAACAATTGGGAAGGAAATTGCACTTACTTGCTGTATGGTAGCTCTTCTCAGCGATCTGGTGTTTCTTTCCTCGAGTTGAGCAAGGGAGGTAGGTGAGGTGGTGAGGTAAGGGTAGGTAATGGAGGTAGATGAGGTTATCTCCAGGGTGCTGTTAGGTAATTTCCTGGATCCCCAAAGTGACAGCTTCGCGTTTCCACGGGGTTAAGGGACATGGACCCGCCTTTTCTTTTTGGGGCTCGGCTACCTTACGTTACCAGCACGGACTCGGGCGAACATGAAAAATGGGGACGGGTCACGTGTTGGGGAGACAATAAACTGGTGGAAGGCAAGGGAGCAATCATCAACCGGGAGGGTGTTATTGACACGTGACTGTGATGACTTCTCTCTATAAGAGCTCTCCGTGATTGGGCGGGATGACATTGAGGTCACAATGCTTGCTGTCAGGGCATCAAGTCAATTGACAACTGCCAAACAATGTCATTGGAGACTTGTCGGACTCGGAGGTTACCTTGATATCCCGCGGGCCCGGCCTGTTAAACCGAAAAGCAAAAAGTTTAGAATTAAAAATAGGTTTTTTTGCAGACAGCTTTCCTTAGGTTCACGTGAGTAAGGTACCCTCATCCAAGTAAACTTCCCGAGGCCATTCCGTTTCCATGTCTCATCCAATGTTTGCAAGGTCCGGAGTTGTAACCTGCCGCACGTCAGATTCCTTTCTCTTGGCTTTAGATTCCGATAAGAGCTGGCTGGGGCGGGCAGTTTATCCGTCTAGGTGCCCAATGTCCCCAAAGTCCCTATTTTCCAAGGTTTCCCGCAGCGACCTGCCTCATGCTTATCGACAACAACTGGATCTCGGTAGCTCAAAACGGCTTAGCGTATCATATCTCTCTCTCCATCATTCGCACCGCAAACCACAACCCCACCATTGATCCCTCCCCTCGACGGCGGCGCATCTGACGCTTCTACGATGAGGGGTTCGGCCGCCCGCCCCAACTGTGCCAATTTCTCAATGCGACACCGACGCCCTTGCTATTGACACAAAAAGGACCCGGCGAGAAGGCAGGAACGCGGTGTCACACCGTAAAGGCACATTCACATCTCCCGGGGCGCCGGGTTGCTTATTGTATCTACCTTACACCGGAGACAGGCGGAGACCGGACACCTCCGTGCAAGCTTAGCTCACGTGCCCGCAGATGTCCGCTCCTCCCCCCACCACTCTCCATCAACATTTGGTTTCCTATATCACTAATGTTTTCCCAGCTTTCCTAGGTGATTGAATCAACTGTGCCTTTTGAGAGACGAAACCATTCTCGTCTTCATTTAACAGTTTTCACCCCAATTTTAAGAATCTTCTCGTAAATCGAAAACCGCAGCCATGGCCCCCAAGAACCGCATCATTATCGATTCCGACCCAGGTGAGATATGAATGAGCCAATCCCCTCCCAAAAAATTGTGACGTGCAAGTAAGCTCATATATCTCTGTCAGGCATTGACGATGTCATGGCCATGCTCCTGGCCCTATCGGCCTCTCCCGAGGAGCTTGAGGTCATGATGATTTCAGTCACCTACGGAAACGTGCCTCTCCAGAGGTAAGTTTAATGCCGCGCAAGGTGACTTTGAATTCCTTAGTCTAACCGTTTATTATGAAAAAGCTGCCTGAAGAACGTCGTTGCCCTCTTCCACGTCTTGGAAAAGGAGATTGCGTGGCGCAAGGAGAATGGAAAGCCCGAGGGCTTCGAGTCCCTCAAGGCCTACAAGCCCATCGTGGCAGTCGGTGCCGAGCACGCTCTGGAAGATGACGAGCTGGCCGCCGACTATTTCCGTGAGACACTCCTTGGTCAACACTCCCCTGTTGCTCATCCACTGACTCTCCTTTAGACGGACTCGATGGCCTTCACGGCGTCCACGAGAAGCACCCCCACCTCTCCCCGGACGACCGCTGGCAGTCCCTCTTCCACACCGAGAAGAACGTGGACCACGACCCCTCACCCTTTAACCAGTACTTCACCCCGGCCAAGCAAGTCGCCCACAAGGAGATCCTGCGCATCCTCAAGGAGAACGAGCCCAACACCATCTCCATCTGTGTCGTCGGCCCCATGACCAACGTGGCCCTCGCCGCCGCCGAGGACCCAGAAACCTTCCTCCGCGTCAAGGAGCTCTGCGTCATGGGCGGCGCCGTCCACGTCGAGGGCAACATCACCCCGCACGGCGAGTTCAACACCGTCGCCGACGCCGTCGCCGCTGCGCGCGTCTTCGCGCTGACCTCCCCGACCCCGCGCTCCACCATGCCGCCCATCTCGGACAACAAGTCGTCCTTGCCCCCCTACCCGGCCAGGTTGTCCAAGAAGCTCAAGCTGACGCTGTTCCCCCTCGACATCACGACCCCGCACCTGCTCCGCCAGAACTACTTCACCGAGACCATCAAGCCCATCGTGGCGTCCGGGAGCCCCCTTGGCCAGTGGGTCAACCACTTCATGTCAAAGTGTTTCGACAAGATCATAGAGCTCGAGGGCGACGGACAGGAGCCCGGCCTCTCCCTGCACGACCCCCTGACGGTCTGGTACCTGTTGACGCAGTCCGACCCCAAGTGGAAGGCCACTGCGGAGCCCGAGGACATCCGCATCGAGACCACAGGCCAGTGGACGCGCGGTATGCACGTCATCGACCGCAGACTCCGCGTCAAGTACAACGAGGCCGCCCTCGAGGCCAGCGAGACGGGCGATGCCGTCGACGTCCTGACCCTGGCTGAGGTCCCCGGCGACACTGGCGGCTGGCTCAGCACCAGCAGGGGCAACAGGGTAAACAGGATGGTTGAGTCCCCCGGCGAGGAATTGTTTGCCCCTGATCTGATGAAGAGAGTTTTCGGATAAGATGGAGGAGACGAAGGACGTATATCCTCAGCCACCGCCCTCTATGTGTATGAGTGTGGGGCTCTTTTGTCGTTGATGTCTCGTGTCAGCACAAACATGATTTTGAGACTGTAGCAGCATGGAGGAAGGATCTGGATAGAAGAAGAAAGGTAGGCGCATACCCCGTAGGAAAACCCAATGTCATTCTATAGCAACCCCAAAATATGTGCAAACGCCGTTGTTCTGTGTGTGTGTGTGTAGGTGTGTGTTCATGCGCATACGCATGTGTGCATGAAATGCGCGCACGCCTGTCTGCCTGTCTGCCTGCCTGTCTCAAAGGCAGCAGTGCAATTTCATGTCCTTCCCAACACTCGGGTATCCCGCTCGTAATCAAACATCCCGTGACTCAACATGTCACTCTCATCCTTGAGAACCATCTCTGCTCTTGTTCTTTGCTTTTCTCTCTTGTGTATGCGTAGGCTTCATACGTGCTTGGTTCCTCCAATAGCAGAACCCTTGACTTCGGTCCAGTTGATGCTATCGTCTAGTGCCTCGTCTACCAAGCCGATTGTGCAGACGTTGTCGCCTCGAACAAGATAGAGGCCGAGAGGCACTTCGACAGAGGGTTCGCCGCTCTCGGGGGTTTGGATGACTCGCTCTTGGGCATTGCTGAGAACCTGAGGCGTAAAATGCGTGTTAGTTAGGCGCACTTCAGAGGATTCGCGAGAGGTTTGAAGGGGAGGGGAAGGCGCATTACGAGGTTCGTGGACTGGTCCGCAGCTTCCAATGTGCCCACCAAGATTCGTGAGTCCGACGTCACAATGAGGACTTTCTCTAATGGGGGTGAGAACCGTCAATATGTCATCGGAGAAGCAACACTCGAGGTTGGCAATTTTGGGGGGGGAACGTACTGTTGAGGTAGCCTCCGAGGGTTGCCATGATTGCGGAGGTGTCGAGGTCTGAAAGGGTGGAAGGTTTCGCAAGAAGCTGAGGTAGGTGTTCACGTGGAGAATTGGATCGTCGGATGATCGGATTTATTTCGTCAGAGCGTGCTCGGAACTGTTGCCAGTGGTATTATCGCAGTGTTGAATCCAGAGGTTTGGCTGGTGAAATTCGGGAATTCTGAGTGGAGGGACCTTGGAGCTCTCAAGCTAAGCCAATTTAGGCCAAGGTAAGCACGACAAAGGTCTGGTCTGTGCACTTCCAGTCGTTCGTCCTTTCCTTTCAATAAGCCGTTAGATGTCACTCGAGCTCTCAGCTGGCACCAAAGCTATCGCAACTCATTGCTACAAATCAACTCAACATGCATGATCGAATTATTACCTTGCCACCTGCAACAATGGAAGCCCATGATAGGTCGCCTTATTCTATTCAATGATGGCTCAGCAAGATGTCGTTGGCGCCAGTGCCGGGCAGGCGCTCACTCAGCCCTCACAAGTCAAGGCCATTCGCCATGGTGCCGAGATTACTGGCCTCAAAAGGGGATGGCTGCCAAGATCCCAGGCTGAAATATCAAGCTCACTATACTGCTGTGCCGCATGAACCTACTCAGCCTGCCATACTTACTGGGCGAAGAACCCCGGCAGCGACATCACCTGCTCAATCGGGTGTGGCACTGGGCTGAATTTCGTTTTTGCGCTTTTAAAGACTCTGCGATTGCCTCCTCACCGCTGTGTGGTGAAAAGTTTTGACCATGTCTCCAGACGAAAGATGTATCTCACTGTTCGCTGAGACAACAATCCGACTCTCTTTTCCCCCGGGTCAGGATGTATAGCAGCATCACCGCACTTCCTAAATATGAACGCCTCTGCTCAAGATGACAGGCCTAGCCATGGCAAGAAGTACACGCTCAACCAGACTCAAGAGAGAGCGGTACGACGCTTACTGTTTCTGTGCGCATTGGTCTTTGATGCCCTCACAGTGACGCTCGTCATGGTTCTATGCGTCGGCGCATGGACAAAGTCGGGTGGTTTGAGATCGTCAAAAGGTATCAACAACAGAGAGGCTCACCTCGCTACTGTAAGTCGGACTTGGGGTCGGGAAGATAACCCTCTCTTCCCCTCCCGTCTCCATATGTCTGTACTGACAATGAATGACAGTGGTCAGCGGCATATGTCCGGCAATGGCCAGCTGACGAGACCACGGTCGTCTTCAGTTGGCACCTCAGCAGCTACTGCTACTCGCACTTAGGGCGAGAGGCATGTATCCGCCGGGCTCCCGGCGCCCCCTTCGACCTCGATGACATTATGGACGACGTCGCATATGCAATCGGAGGGGGTTCGTACTATTCGTCAAGCAGAGGCACCTTCCCGGCTCTGGAAGCGCTAGACATTGGCCTCAGGACGGCCTCCAAAGTCACTTCGTCCAAGAACGCGTTCATCACCTACATCGTTTTCATGGTGGTTACGGCGTGCCTCTGGTCCTGGCACTTCTTCGTCGGCACGGTTCCGGGCGCACCCAACTGTGATCGTTTCCTGGCTGTGTCGTTTACTTTGGCGGGGGCGGCCCTGCTCGTCGCCTCGGCCAACACAACCCGGGCGGCTCTTGAGGCGGACGGCATCCTCGCCCAATACGAGAGTGCCTTCAAATACCATAGCGCCGGTACTTCGACATTCGTCGTCACGTGGATTGCCTCGGCAAGTCATTTCCTCGCGGTAACGATATACACGGTTGCAGTGGCCATTGGCAAACGACTGCGTAAGCCAGACCGATACCCGCCAGAGTGGGAGCCGTCAGACATGGGACCGACCAATGACGCACGCAGAGCGAGGGAGGCGGAAGTGCCAACGGAAGTCGACAGAGACGATTCTTATAGGAGGCGGCTCGAGGCATTCATGCGCGTGCGCAGTCAGAGACGACGATCAGAACTAGCTTCCTTTCGCATGAACCGCAATAGCGGAGAATGTCGGAGGACACATGCGAATGGCGATATCTGGTTGCCGGTTTACTCGAGGGTCGATCCGAACGCGATGCATTCACCGGTAAAGCCAAACGGTGCAACCGGCTCACCTATTGGAATGACGGATGTGAGTGCGGCTACGGGTGGTCAATCTCGCGCGGGCAATGTGGTGGATGTGCCAGCGCCGGTCTATGAGCGGTATCAAACTGCGTCACCTCGCCGCCCGTGAGGTAGGTAGATGATATCCAAGGGTTATGGATAGCGATGTGTTTTATGCAACATACAATAAGAAGATATATGTTATACCCATATTAGTTTACGATGTCGGAATAAGATAATACACAGTCTATTTAGCTGCATCACAAGTTTGTAATATGTCAAAAAGTCATCCTGTGGCGGGAGCCGTCCAATTCAAACGGACGGGCCGTGTCCAACCTCAACAGACAACTGAACCGGCACCAGCTGGGCTAGGTTCCACGCCAGGGTCGCGGGCCAAAAATCCTAGCGCGGCAACTCCGACTCCAGCACATCTTAAATCTGACCTCATCAAACCACTGGTCCTTAAACTTCCTCCCATCAACCACACCTCTCGCCGCCCACGATGTCGTCTCACGACACACCAAACATCTACGCAGAACTCCTCACAAATATCCGCCAGCTCTCCGTCGCAGTGACCCTCCCCTCACCAGCAGGAGGCCAAACAAAAGCCCTCATCGCCCCAGACGGCGCAACGCTGCACATCCACCACGCAGGCACAGAAACCTCATTCCCGCTGCCCGGAAGAGTCCTCGCCCAGGCAGGAGCTCCCACAGCCTTACCCACACCACCACCGTCAGCATCATCAGCCCCGCACACGCTATCATGGCGTCTCCCGCTAGCAGACTCCTCAGCGGCACTGCGCAGCAGCAGCGCAGACGACCCTGTCCCCTGGACGGCGCGGGACCTCCTCCCCGGCTCGGCCATCGCGTGCAGACGCTGCGCCGCGGCCATCGTGCCCGGCGGGAAAGCGGGGGAGTGGAAGGACCTGCCGAGCGAGAACTGGGCTGAGATGATGGACTTTTGGCACTGTCATAAGCCTAGCACGGATCACGAGGATGAGCATGAGCACGGCGTGAACGGGGAGGGCAAGGAGGACCACGAGCATCTGACCAGGCGCGGGTACGGAGCCAACTCGTCCATTGCTGCGCAACCTGGCGTCGGCATGGTGGATTTGACGTCATTTCTGTTTTGCGAGGCCGATTGTGTTGGTCTTAAGGTAAGCGGGCTCTCTTTCTCTCGCTCCATCTCTGTTCTGTTACTCATATCTTCAACATCATGTTGGGGATCCGTCTGTTCGATACAAATTACTGTGTATCCTCAAAACACGGGGGCATCAAGAAGGAGGCCATGTCGGCAGCAACACGCTACCAACTCAGTGATCTGGTCACCGATACTCCGCCCCTATATGAACTATCCAAAAACACACGCCGTCGTCCCCTGTCCTCGCGCAGGGGGTGCTTTCCAAAGCGCAAGATTCCGAAACCTCTACGCCCCTTGGTGTGTGTAAGATGGTTTCTGGGTCTTGAACTTTGGTTTGCAAAAGACGGCTGGCCCTCTTGCTTTCACTGGGGTTGTTTCCAGAGCCTCGGAGACCCCGGGATAAACAGCGAGGGACATTGAACCAATACTTTCTCCATTTCGTGTATGCCGCCACGGTACATTTCGTCTTCTCTCTTCTCTCCTTACTTACTCTTCTTCTCTCCACTCCAGTTCTCTCTCCCATCATCATCATCATCAGATGCCGCACCCCCAGCATCCTCCAGCTCAGAAGTCCTAGCTGGAGGAGGAGTAGGAAACTCTGACTCTGCTCCTGATGCCACACAACCACCACCCCCGCGGATGCTCAACATCGCCTGCTCCGCCTGCGCCTCCCACATAGGCTTCTTCAACGTGGCCATCTCCTCCGTCGTCCTGCTGAAATGGCAAGTGTCATGCCAGACAAGCACATCACGCCCTACGGCCGCGGCGGCAGCACTGCCCACCAGCACAGACTGCCTAGCCGCGACCCTCATCGCGACCCTCTCCCGCTCAGGCTCCTCCAAATCAGTCGTCGTCCCCGCCTTCCAATCCACCCAAAACCTAGCAGCTTCTTCCTCCAGCGGTGGCAAGGTTGTACCGCCTGCCCTGCACCTCTGGATCCTCAACAGCAACATTACCTACGCCTCCTCTTCCTTCTCCCTCTCCTCCTCTTCTTCTTCTTCTTCTCCTCAACGCACAAAACGCGCAGCCATAAAACTGCTCTACAAAGAAATCCCCCAAGATGAGGCGGATGACATGCTCGAATCCATGACGTCCGACGTGCAAGAGGTTAACCTCCCACTACCGGCAATCGTCGCCGCGGCAGAGGGGTTGAAGCGGAGCAGTGGGCTTTTACCGCCTGGTGAGCGGGTGTTTAAAGGGTGGAATATCGGGTTGTTGGATAAGTGGGAGCCAGCCAGCTAGCCAGTCTTCCGCTGAGACTGTTAGCCCGTGATGGGTGTAGGCGTTAGGGAGGGGCGTCGAGGGCAGAGGTGTAGAGGTATGACCGTTGGAGCGTGAGAGTGAGGTACTCGGGAGAAGGAGCCAGAGAGAGAAATATGGAACTTTAAGCTGCGAATAAGGAATGGCACAAATGGTACCTCATCCTTCCGAGAGACCCCTGGCCACAAACCTCCACCCAGAGTCTAGACTCTGTTACATAGCTTAACTGATGACTTGGCTTTGACCGAAACCACTCCTCCACACAATGATTTAGAGTCCTGTTACACGAGGCTGTAACAAGGCTCACTTCACAAGTCTCACCAGGCTCCCGATGCTGTATATATGCCATTCAAGGACCAAGATGTAGTCAACCCGCATGGTTCATTCACTACTACCGTCCGTCTGCCTCAGTCAACGTAGCGTCTTTTGCTGAGTGGCAATTGGGAAGTAAAGCACTTGCTCATCTCACAACACGAAATAGGCAAGAGAGGACATCAGTGTTCGTAACTTGGCAAGCCATCAATTGGTGCAACAGCCTACAAGTTGCAAGGAATAATACAATAAATCCTCCGCGCCGCCATTTTTTCCTTTTCATCTTTTTCATCAAAAAAAGATAAAGACAACTTATATCGACAACATTCCTCCCCCGCCACCCGCCGCCTTCCATTGCTCCTTATTCTCCTCTTTTCCATTTCCCATTCATCAGCCATCAATCCCCTCTGTATGGGGGGGAACATGTGAAATGGCGACAGCTGGAAAACAGAAAAAAGAAAAGACAACCACCACTGCCAAAATTCACCAAGTTGCCCCTCCAAGTTTGGCAACTCATCAACACCCTGGAAATGCTTCCCTAAACCCCCTTTGGATATGGTAAACAAAAAATTGATAATTACATATTCAACCCAGACAGCGTGGCATGCGCGTTGTGTTGTTGTTGTTTGAGTTCTCTGCGATATTGGTATCACGGAAATGACTGACTGCGAAGGGAACGACCTGTCCCGGGTCTCGCTCTAAAAGAGGAATGTACAGAAGAGATGATGCTGAGAATGGAAAAGGAAAAGGAGAGAGATTTGAGAGAACGGAAGACAGCGTGAGATAAGGGAAAACCATGTTCACGAGCGGATGAAGATAATTACGCCGCCCGGGAGACATGCCATGTCTGCGGTCGTATGAGGAGTTTTGGAGTAATGAAAATAGTGTGCGCGTCGGATAGTGAGATGGATCGAGAGTGAGTTTGCGCGGGATAGTATGTGGATGTGCGTGTTTGTGAGTGTGTAGCGCGAGAGAGGTTTGGTGATAAGTGTGAGGGATGAAACGAGTGGACTTTTGAGTGCTCTAAGCCGTCTATGCTGGAATGCAGAGGCCCCCGCCGAAAACGATGCTCCGGAAAAGACCTGGGTATAAAAAAGGACGGATCATGATTTTGAGTGTCGTGAAGCGCCATGGATGTGAGCGGAGCTCGCAGGTGTCGCACAATGGCCATTAGTGTCTCATCACCGCCATGGCTTCAAGGCATTTTGTCGATTGAACCTAGAGACGGTTTTGCTTGTTGATCTCGCCCAGGTTCAACCAACTCATGTCTGAAGAGGTGGCTGCCAGGGCGAGGGGCGGCTGTTGGCTAACACCGTTGGGAGCACTGGTCTGCGTTTGCCGTTGCGGGAGGCTTGGAGCTAGCGACGTGGGATAAAGGCTCTCGGCATAAACACTGCTTGGAGCGCGGTCCGCTCCCCAGGGCCTTGAGGGGCCGGTAGGATCCCACGTGTCCCGAACACTCTCGGGGATACCGCTCGAGTACCCTGAAGATGCGTTCGATGTGGGTCTTCGGGGGGATTCGATCTTGCCAGAGACTCCATCGCGGAAGGGAATCTGGTTCGAGTAGTTTGACACCGTCGGGCTGCCAGAGACGACACGGCTCAGTTCTGGCCGGCCATCGTGCTGAATAGGCGGAACAGTAGACAAGTCCTGGGTAATGAGGTGCAGAGGAGGGACGGTAGCGGAGTCTTGCGTGATGCGGTTCTTGGGAGTGTTGGAGTAGTGAGAGGTCTCAGAATCGACGGTTGTACGCTTAGAGTTGCCAAATCCGAGAATGTTGAGCGCGCTGCCGCCGGACCAGTAACGATTCCAGCCAGAGCTTCTGCGCGTCTCCCCAGCACGACCGACGGGAGCTCCTCGCGGGGTAGGGCGAGGCTCGACCACGTCGGCGGCGAACGAAACACCCTTTTCATCGCGGGAAGGGGGTGCAAGGGCCGGTGCCTCGTTCATCTGAGGAAGGGGCTTGCCGATGGTGCTCTTGAAGAAGCTGTTGGATGTATCACGCTTGCTTCCACTGCGAGCAACACCGGCAGACTTGGGTGCGTTGCCGTTGACCTTGCCCATCAAAATCGCCATGGAGGAGAATGATCCGGCCGAGTCTTGTTGCTGATGACCACGGAAGTGAGGACCAGAGTTGAAATCGTCGTTGCCGTATCCAAGTCCAGCCTTCTCATCGGGGAACCCCCTGGGGCTCATGCCCCTCGGGTCCTGGCCGCCCTCCACGTTTTGCTGGTTCTTGCCACGACGCTTTCGGATGCAGAAGAGGATCAGGCCTAGGAGGAGCATGATACCGGTAATGGTGCCAAGGACAATACCAAGTATAGCGTTAGCACTGACTGCGGCGGGGGCACCAGCAGCAGCAGCTGTCTCGGTGCTGGCAGATGAAGATGCAGAGGCGGAGAGAGTCGCGGCGGCAGACGCAGACGCAGAGGCTGATGCCGACGCAGGAAGTGTAGACATGGAGCTGGCCGAAGTGCTAGATTTGGAGCTGGAGCTCGTTGCGGTTGAGCTCGCAGTGGTGCTGCTCGTCGATTCGCTTGTGGCGAGAACCTCCTGCTCGTTCAGCTTTTGGGCGGCATCTTCCCAGCTGTTTTGGCGCGCGTTGAAGATGCAAAGAACATCGTCGACGGCACCTGATCCTCCTGAGAAAACGACGGTTCCATCAGAACCCTGGGCAAGAGCGTAGTTGGATCGGGTGCCCGTAGGCGCCAGGGTGCTGTTGTAAGCGGGCCAGTCGCTCAGGGTCAAAGATGCGCGCTTCTCAATCTCGCCGTCCACTCTGCGCGCCTTCGCCTTCGATACTGCCTGGGAGTTGGTCACGGGTGTGCCCGCCGCGTCGATGAGAACCATGCGCTTGACCACGTTTGGCGCAACGGAAAGGTCAAATGTATACAAGCTCTTGCTTCCGTCGTCTCCGTTCATGATGATCGCGCGGATCGCAGTCGTGTCCTTCAGCAAGGGTTCCCCGAGGGTCGCACCTGAGTCGGTCCATTTCGTATCGGGGTTGAAGAGCATAACCTTGCTGTTTGTCGTGCTGCCTCCAATGACAACCGCTTGTGTGTCGGACCATGTCAGGACAATGGGATTTACGACAGGCGGTGCTGACGATTCGTAGGCTCGGGTGCTGTAAGGCGCGGATGCTCCGACAACAAAAGTCTGCGTCGAAGGGCCAGAGTAACCATCCTGACTGCCCCCGTACATGATAATCTGGTCAGTTCCAGGGAGGTATGTTGCTCCGTGGAGAAGACGGTCCTGGGTGACGTGGTCCTGTGGTGAGATGGACTCCCATTTTCCTGTCGCGTAGGTGAACTTTTGAAGTCCATGATAATCTGTTGACGTGCCCTTGCCTCCTACAATGTACAAGCCGGCCTTGCTAGCATCGGTGGGGTTGGAGCCAACGCAGACAGCACCTGTCACTGCCTCGCCTTGCGCCAAGGTCTTCCATTGGGCTCCTTCTTCGAGCGAAAGCGACTGGAAAGCACCGGAAGAATATGTGTAAAGGACGTTGTTGTAAATGACCGAACAGATGTTGTCCAAAGCGACTTTGGGCTCGGGGAGCTTCATCGTGATCGTGCCCTATGATGTGTTTTTAAGAATGGTGGATGTTGTCGTCGAGGTAAACTGAGTTCGGGGTTGAGTAGGTAGAATGCGTGTAGTCTACAGCATATCGTTAAAATGCCTGTAGAATTGTTGGGCGTTGATGCAGCTTCTCACAATGAAACAAAACAAGATGGTCCGACGCAGACGGTAAGATGACTGCTGGCAGATGGTCTACTCAGCAATGGTCCAATGATCCAAACGCAACAGCCAGCGCCCTCGAGGCTTCCAAACGGTCGAAGTATCGAAGTGAGGCCGGTCGGCTGATCCTTAGCTCGCGCGACGGGAAGGCGAAGATGAAAATCGAGCGGAGGTCCTAAGGGAGGAAGAGACTGAGCCGTTGAGGTCGAGGTAGACGGGAACTGGTTCCCTTGTCTCGGAGTTTGATCTGCAGAACAAAGTTTCTGGTGTTTCTCGACAGACGGCTAGTTCCAGACAAACAAGAAGGCCCAGGACAAAAGGCCGCACGGTTGGGTAGAAGGGAAACAAGAAGCTGTTAGTTCTGCCGAGTCCTGAAGGCCTTGGTGTCGCAGGTTTTGGGTGTGGCGAAGCGGGTGGCTCGCAGTCGTTGGTTGGATTCGTTTGTGTGTGTGAGTGTGTCGTGGATGTCGTATCGCTCTCGGGCTATTACTGCAGCTCGTGTCGGTCGGGTCGGGAATTTCGGTGGAAGAGGGAGAAGATGGGCAAATTGCCGCGTCTAGGAATCGAAGAGGATATTGCAATGAGCGACTCTGTGTTGTTTCTTTTCTTTCGATCTCGCGAGAGTCAACGTTCCAGACGATGAGTAGCAATTCCACCTCGAAAGAGCGAAAAATGCACACACGGCACCAGAAGGAGAGAAGGAGGAGAGGAAAACGGAGACCAAGGGAGACACCAGCAGAGCCAGAGAGGAAGAGAGGCGAATGGAAAAGAGTGGTACCCTCGCTCACCCTCGTCCGACTCTCTCTCAGAGCAGTCGAGCGCAGCAGCAGCAGCAGCAGCACCCGCAGCCCCCAGCAGGAGTCGACCAGGTACAGCCCAAGTTGCAGGCGAAGGAAACACGAGGCAGGGATTCGGGGAATCGTGACTGGGGGTCGCCAGGAACGTCCTGGTCCCTGGTCCGGGGTGGCTTGGACTGACGACGGACGAATCAGACGGTGTTGGAGCCATCAAATGGGGCAGTCCAGGGGGTTCCTGGACATCCACGGGCACCAGCGCCAAAGTAGAGGACGAGCCAAGAATACTTGGACAGGTGGTGAGACACTGCGGTGCCGCCCAGGTACAGGCCGACGACGCAGCTACCCTTGAGGCTGGATCCTAGTGCCCTTTTTTACGGTCCAGCGCGAGATTGGGAAAAGGGGGTGCCGGGGTGACGAGCCTATCAGCAAGCCCAATTTCATCGTTCCTGGACACAGGTGGAGGCTGGCCATGGGTGGGAAGGGGGGCTTTGACGCCAGTCGGGTGGTACTCTACTACTCTCAGTCAGAAAGTCTCGTCCTCTTTTAAGACACATCGACCGGTAGCAGCCAAACGGTTGAACGGCCAGCAGTCAATCACTACGTTGACAACGGGCGGGCCTCGTCCAGCCTGGTCTCGCTCTAGTCCTGAACCGTGGCTAGTGCTGGGTCTTGAGTATGCTCGTTGCTGATGCGAGCCTGTGTCGCGCAGGTGTAAAAGCAAGTAGAGGCACGCTGCGCGCGCGCGTCGGTGAGTGTAAAGCAAGGAGAGAAAGGTCAGCCGTTGCAACTTGTAACTGCCAGTCAATTATCCGTAGTCAGTCACCTGTCTCTCTCCATTTTCTTCTTCCTCCGCTTCGTGCCGGATTTTCAAACTTCGAAGCTGCTCGTCACTCGTGGACTTGTGGTCCGTGGTCCGTCCGGGGTTCGACAGACTTTGACTTTGCGTCCAAGGATTGTGTGGGAGGGAGGACGGACGGTCGCTGGCAGTGACGGACAGATCACACCAGACGACGGCTAACTGACAGCGGTCCGTTCGTTGCTTCGTTGGTTGGCTTGGCTCCTTCAGATTGATGTCTCTCATGCCATGTGCCTGTTCTCCCGTTGCTTGTCTAGACGAGGCATCAGACCATGCCTTGAGCAGTCGAGGCCCCAATGATGCCAGATGAGCCCAATCAAGATCTTTCTCCTTCCAATAGATAAGTCGGTTGACGACAAGCACTGTCAGATCCGAGAGCCCCCAAATGGGTCAAGGGGCCGCCAAGTGGACGCCTGCTCCCGGCTCTCGGCCTTCAATAACAATATCGAGACGCCTGCGGCCCTGCAACGGCACGGCGAGATGGGGCCTTTGAACAGACGGGGTGGGATGGCCACCTAGAAAGAGGCCAGCAACAGAAAAGAAAAGAGTGAGTTGAAAAAGAGGCCCGTGGCAGACTGTCAGTGGGCAGAGAGTTCGAGATTTGGGACAAAATTGACTGCCTGGCGTCATACGGCAGCCTCTGTCTGCACCACCTTCATCAAATCTGAATGAGGATTCCGCCGTCCGGTGGATGGATGGGCCGGGAAAGCTGGGGAAACTTGAAAGCCAACGGGAGGACACCGGCAGCGCAAATTGGGAGCAATAAAAAACGGCATGTCGTCCGCTGTTGGATCTTTTGGGGCCCGTGGACGAGGGAGATTGACGCGGTGACTACCCGGGTCGTCCAGATCGAGGTCTAGCGTGGCACCACGCACCGCATCCGAGCAGGTCCGGCGCCCAGGACGAGAGAATAGTTTGAAAACAAAGTCTAGATAGCCACGTTGATGTTGCGTCTTGCCGTTTTGCACCTCGTGGGACAGTCCACCGAGATTGGGGGAGTCGAAAAATGCAGTGCAAGACCGAAAAGAGGGCGATAATGTGAGCAAACGGGCATGGTCGCCAAGCCGCCTTCAAGGAGAGTGGGAGAGGGAATCCTCAGTTCCCATTCCCACTGCTACCGATGGCCGGGGGGAGGCCAGCAAGCCGCGGTAGGTGAATGCTCGTCAGGGTAGGGCCTGGATGGCAGGCCTCTGTTCTTTTCCGTTGCTGCACTGGACAAACGTGGGCGTTTCCATGCCCCGTCCTGGCTGGCTTGGCATCTCTTGACTCTGTCATGCCGAGATGGAATTGAGATTTGGTAAGGTATTCAGAGACTCCAGTGTACCAGATTGCCCACGAAAGAGAGAGATGGAAGGATGAGGTAACGTGGAAGAAGGTGAGTAGCTACGTACAACACGGCACGTACAGCAAGGTACGTACAGAGAAACGGCTGCGGGTGACGGATGCAAAGTACGTACTGCCTGTCCAATGGCATTCTGGCTGAAACGCGCTAGGCAAGTCAGCCCCTGCAGCAACCGACGATGCCCCTGAGCCACCATGACCAAAAATCGTCAAGTGCCCACCAGCTGACGATGCAACCGCAGCCCATCTATTGGGGGACCAAAATGTCGACCCTTTCCATTTTGACTGAGGTGATGAAATGTCCACCACTCACTCACTCGCTCAGCACCATGAGCCTTTGAGCATCTGCTTGCGGTGTGTCTTCTCAGCTTATCAGCTGCAGACTGCAGTGCTAAGCTGAGGCCTGACGCTTGTGGTCATGTCTTCCAGGGGGGCCTGCTCTCAAGTAGAGTGCCTGTGTCCTCTTTAAGAACATCTCTCGATATATCCATCCCCGTATGCATGCCCGCATATCCAATGAACCCCATCCGCCTGCATTGGTCACATTCTAGTACACATGGTAAGCCGTTATTGTAATTTATATCTGTATCTGTTCGGAAAGGCACGAGGTATTTGAGAGAAAAAGGAAAGGCGAGGACGGCACACTGGCCGGATTCGCTCGAATCCTTCTTATTCGCTTCGATGCGCCATCCTCATCCCATTCACCCAGGTTCCATGGATGGAGGTCCGCGGTCCACCGTCGAGCCGGCACGGCATCATCGGGAGGAGGAACAGTCTCGACTCGCGTTGGGTTGGGCTCTGATGCCACGCAGTAGAGTGCCATGGACTCGAGCGCCCAAGCATCTGGAGCCATCCACTATTCACACTTCTCGATCACAGGCAAGACTTCATCTTGATCAAAGCGGGAGTCGCATAAGAACAGAGAGTCCACACAGCTTGGGGCAATGACATCAACCCTTTTTGTGTATATATATGCGTCAACGAGATGTAAGCTCACAATCCTCCCAAAGATCAAGAGTCTTCGTTTCTGTAATTCCCCTCTGTAACTCCTTTCCCCTCCCCTATTTTGGCCGGCCCCATCTCTTCCCATACCCGACCGCGATCCTCGCCCATTCCACTGTACGCGACACAAGACGATGTCTGGTCTCAGTGGAACTCCAAACGCCTGAGGAAGGAGCCTAGCAGGAACGACCAAGAATGTTCAATGAGGGGCTGACCGGGCGCGCCCGACTACCGAGTAAGGCAAGCCTTCGCCGCATCAAATTCAAAACAAAAAAAAATCGAAATAAAAAAAATCAGCTTCCCTGAACTTTTGAAGGATGAAGTTGCCCTCCTCGGCTCATCCCCACCCAAGTACCTCCTGGTTTGACGAGGACGCGTATCGTAGAGAATGGCTGAGCAAGGGGGCGTTGTGAACTCATCAATCTCGAATCTACGATTCCCCTCCTGCTCTCTCTGAAAAAAATCTAATCAACTTCCAACGCTTTGCCGGCCCATCCATCCCTCAATCACCCAAGGAACGTGCCTGCGTGCCTGTCAGTACCCATCTAGGCTTTTCCGAATCGTCCGTACTCGCGGGCGCTTGTTCCCAGGGACATCCAAAGTCGAACTTGTCAGTGCCAGCAGTTGTCACCAAACATCCGAGCACCGCTGACGGCCTGCACTGCAAAGAAGACAAGACAAGACAAGCCAGCCCTTCCTTCCGGCAACGATGAACCGGTCTGAAGTTTTCTAAACAGTCGATCCGATGAACGACCCTCCTCTCATCTCGTCTTTTGTCACTCATCATGCCAAAACCCCGCACAGAAGTTCGCTTCTCGTATTACCTACCT